CCCGGTTTAGGCTGGCCCCCCCCCCCCCCCCCCGATTCAAGCAAGGCACCTGGGAGGCTTGGACGTCGGGATAAAGCCTTTTTTGAGGATGGCTTGCATTTGCTGGAATTTGAGCTTCCAGGGTGGCAAGAGGCTTTGAGCCGCCCGGCGTTCTGGGTCGAAAGCCACGGGTTGAAGTTCAGGCACCTTAAACACTGCAGAAACGTCTGAACCCACAAGCCTTCTCACGCAATTCCTCAAAGCCTGACAGGGACAATTGCTGGGCCGCCGCGTCCGGGCAAACTGTGATACAGGACCGGGCGCAAGTGTCGCGATCAATCCAACACGCATTACTCCGCCCTTAGCTTCAGGGGCAGAGGACTTCTTCGGTGCTGTCCGAGGCTGACTTCCGGGTAGCGCAGATGCTTCCCAAGAACCGCTGTTGGATAATGCAATGTGCTTGTCTCAAGCAGGCGAGCTATTGGCCAATGAAGTGGAACACCAGAGTGCGCATCAAGCTTCTACGGCGCAGCACAGCGAGCATGATACTTCCAACTGGCAATTTGCCAGGTAAGAATCGATACAATGCAAGCAGAAGACTGGCTCGTCAATGATGCCATGTTCTCGCCATGAATGGTGACCGGTTGCCGCCGCCGCCCTGGTCAGAGCAGAAGTATCCGAATCTGCCTCAGGTGCCAAAGTTTGCACCGGTAGATTCTTGGGTCGCCTTCGAGAATGCAGCAGCCGAGACGACGGCGAGGATCCGCTCTGGACTGAGTCTGCCATCCTCACCTGATGCCAAGGGAGGGAGCTCACGAGCGCGCCGCCGCTACGGCAGCGAGCCGCCCCCGTCCCCTGGCATGCGCTGGCCCGGCTTCTCGCCCCGAGCACGACTCTGGCGCCTCCCCCCTGTGATCCAGCAGCTCGATCAGTCGTCTCGGCTGGCAGGGGTGGAGCTCCCGCAGCCACCTCTACCGCCAGTGGCAGGCGAGTTGCGGCTGCGCTTGGAGGCTTTGGAGCAACTGCACCGAGAGAGTCGGGAGCAGAAGACTTCGAGCCTGGCACTGGAGCTCGAGAAGACTCGAAGTGCCTACCTGGTGATCCAGACAGAGCTCGAGCAAAAGTCTGAGCAGCAGGCTCTCCTCGAGAGGGAAATTGCTGACCTGAGGCTGGAGATCGATAGGGTGGGTCAGGATAAAGACGGTCTGCAACAGGCTTTGGAGCTTCTGGAAGAATCGAAATCCCAAGCTCTTCAAGAGCGGAGTCACTTGGAAGAGGAGTGCCGGCGCCTCTCGGAAGCTCTGAAGGCATCCGAGAGAAAAGAGCGGCAGCTCGAGAGATCAAAATCTCAGAGTAAGGAGCTCCTAGAGCAGAAGGAAAGGCAGCTCAAGCAGCTGCAATCAGATTCTCGCAGCCTTAAGGCCACTCTTGCAGAGCGGGAAAGAGCGGAACAGGCGGGTCGGGAGGCCCAGAATCATCAAACAAAACTGGTGGCCCAAAAGCAGCGAGAGATCGACCAGCTCACGGAAGAGAACCGGCTCCTGCGCGTGGAGTTGGAAGGCTTCGAGGAAGAGCGGTCCCGAGTTGTCGTGCTTGAGCGAAACACCCGCCAGTCACAGGAGGAACTCAGACAATCGCAGGAAGAGCTCAGACAGTCCGAGGAGCACCGCCAGGTGGCCCTGAACCAAACCCGATTCCTTTAGCCACAATGTTAAGGCTGTTAAAGTAAGGCTTATACAAGTCTTATGGGGCGCTCTGCTTTCATTCTTCAGGTGTCTCAATAGTCGTCTCCGAGTTCATCCGGCCAAACAGCACGAAACGCCACCTATAGTATAGCCACCTTGTCACTGTCATGTTTATGTAGCTGTCGTCGGGGTAATGGTTAGTAGTTTTAGTAGCTATACGAGTTTGCATTCTTCCTCCTACTTATCTATATTCTTGTTATTGTTCCCTCTACGATTACGAATGCTATTCCATACCGTTCCCATTCCCATTAGTGTTCCTATTCAGCGGCACGAAGTAGCAGGGGCAGGGGCAGGAGTAGGAGCAGGAGTACGAATAGCAGTAGCAGTAGTAGTAGTA